GTATCTTAAGTTCTCTTAGTAGAGCTCCAAAATATTTGTCATCTGTGAATTCGTGCATGCATGAACAACTATTTTTTGAGCACTGATTATATGTCAGGCATTAATTTTTTTGCCAGGATCAAGTAGTGAATAAGATAAAGAACCAGCCTTCATGGAGTACACTGTGAATCGGTAACAGAGCAGAACTGGCTACCAGGAGACTTGGATCCTGGTCCCTGTGTTCTGACTTTGAGCCACTCAGCCTGTCTGTGCTTCATTTACTCTTGTGTAAAATAAGCAGGTCAGACCAGAACTTTTTAAAGGAGTTTCTTCAAAGTTCTGAGTCTGTAAATTGAATAGAAATCTTGATTTTCTAGAAGGACAAAGCTGGACACTGGTTTCTTCCATTCAGTCTATTTAATTTCTTTCCTCTGGTATTTCTTGCCCCCCTGTTTTTGTATAGCTGGACTCCATGTCACTTTTTTTCTTTAGTAGAGGAGAAAAGAGTGAGGTGTCATTCAGTTGTGATTTGCAGTTGAGGTGGATTTTGCAGTGTTTGGTTATGTTCAGACTTAAGTTATGTTATAATATTTAGAAATATTTCAAAAGTTTTGTGATAGTGTTAGTTAATTAGAAACTTAGAGCCAATATAATGTAAGTCTTTACTTGGAGATTCACATCACAATTAATTAAATCACCTAATTACAAAATCAGAGTTATGTGCAATGTCAGTGTATTTTATTTCCCCCTTAGGAATGTAGGGACAAAGTCATTTTCTTTCTCCATCCTCACCAGTATTTTGTTAATAAGCCTTTCTCATTACTGATCTAAACTCCTCTAAAAGGTATCTAAATTATATTTAGAAAACTATTTCATGATATGAAAAAATATGCAGGCTTTATTAAGTGAAATAAGTTAGTCATACAAAAACGTTTTGTGTTTTTAAAATTGATGTACATCTGTAGAAAAGGACTTAAAATTATATAACAAAAAGCTTAGTGTTTATCTGTGGATGGTGAGATTATATTTTATTTTTTATGCTTTTCTGCATTTTCTATTTTTTCTATAATGAACATATTTTTGTAATCAGGAAAAAGTAAGATACTATGTAAGGAAGTGTATCTCTCTTACCTGGCTTCCATGCCTTTAGTTTTTCCCCTGAATATCTTGCTTCTTACAAACCCTCGCTGGTTTCCTATGACCTGCGACATAAGATTCCAGCCCTGCCCCACCAGACAGGAGCCTTCACAACATGGCTTGTCTCCACCACTGTCTGTTCTCCACATGACAGCCAGAGGTTTCTTCTTAGGATGTCAGTCAGATCATGTCATTCTTCTGCCGAAACCCTCCAGAAGCTCCCCACCACACTCAGAATAAAAGCCAAAGTCCGTACAAGGGCCTAAGAGCCCTGTGAAAGCCCTGTGTGACCTGGTCCTGCCTACCTCTCCAACCTCACCACCTCTCTCTCGAGTTCACTCCATGCACTGGTTTCTCACTACTACTCAGTCATACCATACAATGTGCTGCCTCAAATGTCGGAACTTGCTGTTCTCTTTCTCTAGAATGCTGTTCACTAAGTCTCTGCTCAAATGTGACTACCCCTGATCACCCTATCTCACCCTCGTCACACTCTGCTACCTCTTTTCCATTTCATTTTCTTCAGGGCACTTGGCACCACCTGATGTGTTTCCTGTATATCTGTCTTCTTCCATTAGAATGTAAGCTGCTCAAGGGCAGGGACTTACTTTGTTCATCTATGTATTCCCATTACTTAGGAGCACATCAGTCCTTCCTGTCTCCTTGAGATCTTACTCTATCAACTCTGTTGCCTGAAGTTTCATCTTCTTTTTCTGTTGGATAATCTCTTGTTGTCAGTAGCATTTTTAGCTTGCTCTTCTCGTTGAAAACAAACACCTACCCTCAACTCTGTATCTTCTAATTATCAAGACATTAGTTTCTCTCCTTCCTTATAAGTTTTTTAAAACAGTTTATGTGCACTTAACCTCCGGTTTCTCCCCTGACCCTGTGTAACAAGGCTTCCATCTCCAGGGTGCCAGTGAAACTGCTTTGGCAGAGGGCTGTAATAATGTTTGGTCTGTGAGAAATATCTGGGCATTTTTTGCTCCTTTTCTGACTTGCTTTTCTGTGACATTGTACTATACTGATTATTCCTTTTTTCCCCTTGTAATTCTCCTTTCAACCTTTCAGAAGTCTTCCTTTTCTTATTTCTCATCCTTATCGATTGTCTTTACTGGTTCTTTCTCTGCCCTTTACATAGGAGTGTCCCATAAGCTTTGTTCTTAGCTTTCTTTTTGGCTTCCCTGGTTTTATCTGTGTACCTTTAATGATCCTTCAAGATCATGTTTATTTTATCTTTTACATTCAGTTTAATCTATCAGATCCCTCATTGAACCAATCACAGCCAATAGTTACTGAAATACAAGTACAATGGTGCTCTGGTGGATAGAAGGTAAATTTGACGTGCCCTTCAGGTGCGTAAAACCTATTAGAGGAACAGGATAGACAAATTGAAATATTAAGAGACCATCCCTGAAAATCCTAAGTGGCGCATACAGTGTAAATGGAGCAGCGTTTCAGAGGAAGGCAAAATCACCTCTTAAGGCTCCTGGGGAGAAGGGTTAGAAAGGTTTCATAGAAAAGTGGGGACTGAGTTGGACCTGGAAGGATGGTAAGCTTTGCATAGGTGGAGGGAGGGTGTGGATACTGTGGCCCCAGGAGCAGAAGGCATAGTGGTGGCAGTTGTGAAGTGGCTAAGTGCAGGAAACCTGATAGGAAAATGTACATGAGGAGTGCTGAGGTCATGAGGCTGCTTGAATAAGTGCTATGGCTGGCAGCAGGGAGTCACTGGGGTCTCCAGAACGGGGCATTCTAATGAACCTGGTAGATTGTAATATTCTACCCCATGCCAAGCCTTACTAGAGCCTGAGACAAAAGGAGAACTCAGTAATACTAATCTGATCCCATCTTCATTCAGAATTTTAATATTTTGTTCATCATGGGTCTTGTTCGGATTAATTCTGATTTTTCAAAAATACTGTATTAGAATGTGATTTATCTTGTTTACTGCATTTTTGGCACCCCCTTAAGTTTGTGCCCAAGGCAGGTGCCTCACTCACCTCACCCTAGTCCCAGTCCTATGTTCTATTTCTGAAGCTTGGTGGAGGGACATGGGTATTTATTTTATTATTAATAATTATAGCTTCCTTATGTTATAAATATTCTTTGGCTAGTAGACTGTATTTCACAAAAACAAGATAAAGAAGTTAAAATTTTAAGATTAATCCAGAACTTTGGATCTGGTAAACCATGAAGGGGAAAATAATTTTGTTCCTGAGTCAATGTGTAGTGAAGAATAACTCCCTCTTGCTGCAGCATACACAGTGCAAGCAGAAAGGGGTTGTTTTGCCCACGTCTGAGTGGGTGAAAGACAGCTGGAGGGGTAGGGGTGCTAGAAGCTGCTGTCTGTTTGGAGATGGGCCTTAGGCACTCAGGTGCTGTAGCCAGAGTGATTCTGCCTGAGGCCAACTCCCACAGATGGGCCACACAAGGCAGGCTTGGCCCATATGTTGTATAAAATAAGCACATCCTTCCCTGCTCAAGGAGAGCTGCTTACTGGCCACAGGGCTTACCACAGGGCTGTGGCCCAAGAAGAAATGGAAGATTCACGAGCTCTATAATGTCTCAGGGCTACTTGCATCCAGGAAAAGAGGTGGTACTTGACACAAAAAGTATTTTGTGTTCATCTAAAAATGTAAAATCTACAAATTATGAACACTTTTGATCATTAATGCACTATTGGCTAATGAAAGGTTATTTTGAACCAGGGAAGTTAATTAGCATGCAGCACAAATCTCAGAAAAGGCCAAGGGAAAGGTTGAATGGTGCAGGCTGCTCCCTGCATTTGTCACCGGGTACACTGCTCTGTCATTTGATGTGGACCTCGCAGCAGGCACCAGTGTTCATCAAGAGCTATCCAGTCTCAGAGTGGAAGTACTGGCACAATATATAATAGCCACAGACTGAATTTTACTATCAGATGAATGGGTGGTCACAGAAGGTAGCTGCTTGCTGAGGCATAGGACCAAGATCTGCTCCACCACAACGCACTTCCTGGGATAATGACCCTTTTTGTTGGCACAACTGGCAAAGTTGTTCTTCAGAATTAAAGGAGAGAGAAAGAGTTTTCCCAATAAATGAAAGCTGAAAGAGTTCATCACTAGACTGGCCTTACAGTAAATATTAATGGGAGTTCTTCAAGCTGTTGAGTAAAAACCTGAACAGGATGAAAATTTGCTATGCAAGAATTTTTCTGGTAGAGGTATTAGAGTGAATGGCCACCATCAAGATAGAACTCACCCACTGTAGAACCCTTAGTGCTTAGAACCACCTGGAGTCCATAAGGGGAGTCAGTCATGCAGCCTGTGGATTTTCCTATAGTTGTCTTTATTGGTACTATATTTCCACCTTATTGAAGCACTGGTATAGGCTACTAGGATCTTCATAGTACATGCTCCTTCCCAATGAGCAAGTAAATATCTTAGAGTTGTACCAGACTTCATTTGATCTTGGCAGAAACACATAAGCCACAGTAACACATAAGCTTTTGGTTCTGTGGCTGGATGAACCAATAAAGTGCTTCCTTTTGGGCAACTCTCTGTTGAGCCTGGCTTCCTGAGCCCTATTTCCAAGCTGATAAACTTCTGCGTTCCTTCAAAACCATGTTTAAACCTTCTGTGAAACATGGTCCTCTCCATGTATAGTTGGTCTCTTCGCTAACACTTGCCATGATGTATTATGGTTATTTGTTCCCTTGTCTATCTGCCTCACAAAGCTGTGTGCTCTGTAACAGTGGGGACTGTAGCCCTTTCTCTTTGTCTTCTTGCACAAGGCTTTGTACACTGATTGGCCCAGAGCAGATGCTCCATAAATATTGTTGAGTTAGTAATCAGAGATTCAGGAGTTTACTGAGATTTCTGTACTTTTTTCTTCAATTTCTCCAGGCTGCAGGAATTAGTTGACCGAGTGCTGGAACGTTTTCAGGCATCTGGACTAATAGTGAAAGAGTGGAATAGTGTGAAACTCCATGCTACAGTCATGAATACTCTATTCAGAAAAGACCCCAATGGTAAGTCCTCTATAGCATAGTTTGTGATCAGCAAGGCCTTAGGGGTTTGAATAGTATAGGCTATTAAAGACTATCAAAAGAAGTCTGATATATCTTTTTTAGATTCTTTTGATGAGCACAGTGGAAGTGGGCCAGGACATATCTAGCATGGGACTGTGGCATTCCAGAACTCTTATTTCTGTTATGCATAGGGTTGCCAGATTTAGCAGACAGAAATACAGGATGCCCAGGTAAATTTTAGGTGAACAATGAATAATTATTTTAGTGTAAGTATGTCTCATGCAATACCTGCTGACTTTTTTTGAAAAGAAGAAAGGAAGATTAGCTAGTTAAAGTAAATGTTAGACCAGTGGTTTTCAACTAGGGGCAGTTTTGTACCACAGAGAACATTCAGGATTGTCTGGAGACATTTTTGGTTGTCAGATTTAGAGGTTGTCGGTGGGTTGCTACTGGCATGTAGTGGGTAGAGGCCAGGGAGGATGTTGCTTAACCCTCTAATGCACAGGACAGCCCCCAACAACAAAGAATTATTCAGCCCAAAATGTCAGTAGCACCATGGTCAAGAAACGAAAGCTGAAGGAGTTTGAGAAACCATGGTTGAATAATAATTTTTTCCCTTCCTGGAATCTGAGCCTTCATATAGAAGTGCTTTGCTTTAACCCTTGATTTGTGATAATAGTCTACATTTCAAAAAGGATTCTTCTTCCCATCCCCACCTCCAAAGTTTGAAAGCTGCTAAGTGAAAGCACTTAGGTTGCTTCCGTATCTGACTATTGTGAAGTACACTTGGGATTGGGATCTTTGAGTAAGAGAATACTTTGCATGTGTAATTGTGGTGGGCTAATAACTCAAATAAAATATGTTCATGGAGTTAGCATTCATCTGTTGATGGACACTTAGGTTGCTTCCGTATCTGACTATTGCAAATAGTGCAACCATGCTCCATTATTAACTAATCACTTGACATTAAAGAGTTGAATTATGTAGGAATTTATATCTTCTAAATTGTGCAGATCCACATTTATATTCAGTTAGCACTACAGCTTCATATAAGAAAATGTTCTGTGTTCATAGTCAAGTTATCCTTTCCCACTTATAGATATTTTGAACATAACAGCTTCATTGAGATGTAATTCACATACTATACAATTCACCCATTTAAAGTCTATATTTCAGTGATTTTATTACAGTCAGAGTTATGCAACATTACCATAATCAATTTTAGAACATTTTCATCACTCCAAAAAGATCCCATAGCCATTTGCAGTGATTTCTCATTGTTACCTAACCCTTCAATCCTAGGAATACCCTGTCTACTTTCTGTCCCATGCATTTGCTATTTCTGAATATTTAATATAAATAGAACCATACAGTACGTGATCTTCTGTGACTGGCTTCTTTCACTTAGCCTAATGTTTATAAAGTTCATCCATATTATAGCATAGATCATACTTCATTTCTTTTTATTGCTGAATAATATTCTATTGTATGGATATACTACTATGTTTTATTTATCCATTCATCAGTTGGTAGACAATGGTGTTGTTTCTGCTTTTTGACTGTTATAAATAATGCTGCTGTGAATATATGTACAAGTTTTTATAGGGGCATATGTTTTCATTTCTCTTCAGTATATATACTTAAGAGTGAAACTGCTGGAAAATGGTAACTGTATGTTTAACTTTTTGAGGAAGTGCCAGACTTGTTTCAAGTGCTTGCACCATTTTATATTCCCACCAGCAGTATGTGAGGGTTTCAATTTCTCTACATCTTTGCTGACACTTGTTATTACCTGTCTTTTAATCATTGCCATCATTTTGGGTGTGAAGCAGTATTTTACTGTGGTTTAGATTTACATTTCCCTGATGGTTAATGCTGCTTATAGACTCTGAACTCATCATTAAGCATTTCAGTCTTCTGATATCATTATTGCTTCTTTAATATAAATTTATTTTTAAGTTTCACTTCTCTTAACAGGGTTGTTATTTTTTAAGTTGTTAAATATGCTTGGGATTGGGATCTTTGAATAAGAGAATGCTTTCCATGTGTAATTGTAGTGGGCTAATAACTATAATAAAATGTGCTCATGGAGTTAGCACTCTTGATATATTTTGCCAATTCTGACTTGGTAGTCTGCATACCTATATACAATAAAATAACGTACTCAAAAGTAGAAATACAAATATTTTTGAGTGTCTGTGGGTGGGCAGAAAAGTGTTGATATTTCAGAACATATTCTGAGAGTTAAATAATTCTTGAGGATGCTTTCAATTTTCTATACCTTGGATTATTTTCAGTGTTGAATTTTTACTTGAAAAGGACATAGAATAAGGTGTTTTACTTGTTCTTACCTGTTATCCCTTTCCTTTGATATCCTGTTTTCCTGCTATACTAAGGATGTCTTTTGGGATAAGCAAGCTAAATTAACACAAGGAATTAGAACTCAGCTTTGATGAGGCTAAAGTCATAGATCTGCTGCATTTCTGTGTAGAAAATCTGTAAAAAGTACCTTTGATTACAACTAATGGGGTCTTTCTCATATTGGGAGAGTCTTTAAATTAACCCAAAGCATGGTTGCCTTATTTTTTGACTAATTTTTAACTAATTAATATGTGAACTTTTGTGAATCTTTACATATTTAAAAATGCATGCAGCCTATACAGAATCTTGGGTTTTTAGACTGTAAGGGACCTTTGGGGATCACCTAGTCTTAACCTGTAACTTTGTAAATGAGGAACTGAGGAAGTCCATAGAGGAGACATAGTTTGCCTATGAATAAGGCTTTGGTTACATGGTTAACATCCAGTAAGAACTTGGACAATATTGAATGAATAAATGCATATTGAATGAGTTGATGACACTGCTGAAACTGGACGTTGTGTCCCTTGACTCAGCCTTGTATTTTTCCCTTCGTATTATGCCACTTCTCAGGTAGTACATTAAGATTTTGCTACTTGTACCTATAGAAATCCAAGAGAAAACAAACATAAATAATGCAAGTTTTTCTTTATCTAATGTTATCTTTGAAATTTTTACAGCTGAAGGCAGGTACAATCTCTACACAGCAGATGGCAAATATATATTCAAGGAAAGAGAATCATTTGATGGCCGAAACATTTTAAAGGTCAGTATGTAGAGGGTGAATTGGAAATCCTCTGACATGTGTCCTAAGGTAAGGGAGGAAAACAAGTCGTTCTTTTAACAGTAAAGTATATTTTTCTCATGCTTCCCATGGGATCATTAATTTAATGTTTAAAAAGTTCTTTTTAAGTCCTAATGTTTAAAAAAATTTTTTTTAAGTCCTAAAAGAAAAGAGAAATCTGTTTGACTCTGTTACATTCCAAGGCTTGTGGGTGTTTTTTGGAGCTGGGAAGGAAAGAATGTATATAACTTAAGAATAAGCTTTAGCTTTTAAAGTGCTTCTTTGTTTTCCTTCCCTACCCCATCCTCCACTCCCTTATCTTGTCACTTGGCAGTTTTCTTGCCAAATGCCTAATATGACCCCATTTCCTCTAATGAGTGACATCACTCTTTAGCAGCTGTAAGCTTCTTACCGCAGAGCCCGACAGGGCAATGACAGCATTCATTCACTTAGGCAGGCATTCCAGCCCCCACATTGCAGAGCTATGTTAGCTCCTTCATTTCCCTGATATCCTTCCTCCTTTCTGAGTAATTTTCTTGTTTTCAAAGTAGTTACGGTAGCTGTGGTTTTGAATTCAGTTGCAGTTAACTTTACTCATTTTCCCAGGTCACAGCTTCAATGTGATACGAATCTTTCTCCTCCTCTACCTCATTTCCTGGAGCTTTCCCAAAAATAACATTGATTACTTTGCTTTTTTGTTGTTACTAATTTGATTAAGAGAGAAGCTAGGCTAAATAGGGGGAAAAATCTGTAGGAGTGACTCAAGCCAACTTGGTTCTTTTGGAATTAGAATTAAGCACAAAAGGTATGTTGATGCAGGTCTAATGTGAGGTGCTTTGACATCTGTAAGAGGTCTTCCAGGGGATGTGATAGCAGAGAGCCTGTGGAGTGGCTGTAAGAACAGTACAGATCTCTCGCTTAATATTTAATTTCTCTGATTCTGGGAAGTCAGTTTTCTATTTAAAGATCCTTGCCTTGAAAATTTCCTAACCACCCCAGTGATGGCATGAATGTAGCTCCCTCTAGTGTTAGCAAGGGCTTGCTATAGTAGTAGAAAAGTACGCTTACTAGTTGGAGCCTAATCAGAGTTTTAGAGCTGGGCCCAGCTAGGTACTTGCAGACCATTTTATCCAGTTCCCCACTTTAATCTCTAATGGCACAAGATCCAGTGTGGTAAAAATGACTTGCCAAGTGTTGCTGCTGGTTAGTAGCAGAGTCTGAATCAGAACAAAAGGTTCAAAACTCAAATTAGCATTGTTTCTGCTGCCTCCCATAAAGATGTTCAGTGTTTAGGCAGAGATCATTAGATATTTGAAGTTGGGCATGTCTGTTTGAACTGTGATCATGTCTGATTAGAAGTTGTTTCATAAACATTGCAGTGGTAGGTGTTCCAGTTAGTCTAAAACTGTGGTTAATTACGAATAAATACTAACACCAGCAGAAATACTTATATATCTGTCAGACCATGTGCCCTGCAGATAAAACATTCATTAAGAAGGTGCAGTCCATCCCGTCCAGGGGCTTCCTCTCTTTAAGAGGGACAGATGGTTAATAGGCAATTATAATACAAAATTATGGGGGCAAGTTGTGAGTATGGAGAAGTGCCTTTGAACACAGATAGTTAAAGCAAAGTGTTCTTTGATATAGTTTCCAATATTTTACATTTTAATCATTAGCTCCAGAATATATAAACATAGTCATTCTTTGTATTCAGTCAAAGGAGTTAACTTGTCTTTGAGAATAAAAATAAAATGTGGCCTCCAACGATTGCTTCCTCCCAATCACACAGGAGGTAATAACTGTGTTTGTCAAGTAGCTATAGCAGTCCATCTTTTGGAATTACCACGAATGAACATGTCTTTCACATTTAGAGCATAAGAACTCACAGACGGCCTCAGGAACCCTTAAGAAAAAGATTCAGAAAACCAGTAGGTTTTATGTATATAGTTTTTGTACTAGATAAAGTTATTATGTTTAGAAAGAAAAAAAATCAATTTTATTAATAAGATAGGAACTGACTTGGAGTAAACAGAAAGGTTGACTGCATTGGTTTTGAAGGAGCCCAGGCATATGTGTGCAACATATTAACAGCTGCATAGGTCAAGGATCAGGAATACTGGTGATGGGAAGCGGCCTTGTAAAAAAATCAACTTCATCTACTATTCAAAGAGAAACAAAATGAGAAAGCAAGTCAGTGTTCATTGCTGTAAGAATTTAATGAGTAACAGTCAATTGCTATTCTACTCCATGAAGAGAATCGGTCCTTTTGCCTTGGTGTAATATTATGTGTTCTGGGTGCCTTAATAAGGAAAAAAAATCCTAATGACTTTTGGAGGTAGTAGCCACATTCTTCTTTTGTACAGCTCTTTTGAGAGTTTTTACAGCTATAACAGACTAGTATCAAGTTATTCCTAGTGAAAATAAGATTTTTTTACCTTAACAAAGACTTTGAAAGAAGAACTGACAAAGAATCGTTCTTCTGTGTTTTTCAAACCAGAAAAGAAACATAATTAGTTACGAGTATTTTTTATAGAAGACTGACAAGATAGCTCTGAAAGGAGGGTGTATGAGTGAAAAAGACCTGGGACAAATTGAAAGGATAGTGTCCCCTCAGAGTTTCCATTTCTAATCTAGGAGATAGGAACAAAGATGGTGTTTGTTTATCCATTAGGCAGTGATAAACTTGTAATTGGAGAAATCCTGCTGACCTGAAGACATAGTGCCAGGAAGTAACTGCTCCCTCGCTGTCTAGAAGTAGAATAGTCATTAATTGCCAGCTTCTGGAGATAAATGGTCGTAATGGCACTATGTTTGAGGGACTTATGAAATGACCTTAAGTAATAAAATAACTATTCCAAGACTGCTTTCATCAGATTGAATGGGAATAGGTATTAACTGTTCAAAAGCATAGTTTCTAACTGCAGAGTGAAGAGGAGACATTAGAGCCTATTTGTACTCAGCAGAGGAGGTGATTCGGTAAAGATAAAAGGACTGACATCCTTGGGAAGGAATAGAAAGTGCTGTAGGCCCAAAATCAAAGGACACTATGAAAGTGCTACTTTTTTTTGATACTTAAAAATCGTGGAAAATATAAACCAAGTAAAAAGAAGTTCAATTTGTATTTCATTTATTTTTGCTTTTGTCTTTAATAAGACAGTTAGGATGTATACATTTAAATGAGACCTTTATTTACTTTGCTTTACTTAGAGGAGTTTCTATTAAAGAAGCTGTTTAAAAATACATACTATTCTTTTTTTGTGAAACATATAAATAGAAAAGTGCATAAAACATGTATGTGCCTTTTAACAAATAATCATAAAGTAAACAGTATAACTACTACCAAAGTCAAAAAGTTGAGTATGCCTCCGTCGTCCCTCCCTCTGTGGCCAACTCTTTTGTCTGTTTGTCCTAAGGTAACAAAGCACAACTAAGTTCTCTTAGCTTTCCTAGTAAAGAGGCTGGTTTTGAATGATTATTTTGTTTCAAAGTATTAGAAGAGTATTGAAAAGTGAATTCATTTTTATTTTTTCTAGGGAAGAGAGGTGAGATTGAGAACTGTGTAGTAATACTTTTAAAGAAGATATTAATGACTACAAAAGGAAAATAGCATTCAGGAAGAAATTTTCTAAGGAAAAAATATTTCTGAGGAAGAAAACACTGTTTTTTATTATCCATTTCCACATTCAGCCATATTATATACTGTTCTTGAAAATCACATCTTAGTCACATGGCTCTTCCTCAGAATTTTTTTTTTTCAAAACTTTTCCAGAAAGCTTTCCCTTGAGATTCTATCACTAAATGTTCTATTGTGCTATTTATCAGGATAAATAACAGCAAATTGAAGGTAGAAGAAAGTTACTATCTTTTATTATCACCATAGCTATAGTGTTATTTTTACTACCAAATATTTCAGTGCAAAAATTAACTATTAATGTTCTAAAAGGAGAAAATAGACCTTGAGGTCTTGAACTTGGATGAAGGAGACTCTGGACTGGTAGTACTCCCAGGCACTTGACAGTAGTGAGGAAAAATTCTCTCTGGAAAATGGTTTCCTCAATCTCTGCCTAAAAATATTTCTCCAAGGAACTTTTCCCAAAAAATGACCAGTACATAGTCAAAGATAACTAGGCATTATGAGGAAACCAATCCCCATAAGCAAGCAGATACCCCAAAATGATAAAGGCATGAGATTAACTAGAGTTATCAGACTTAGGCTAAAAAAGACTATGCTTACTACAGTCAAATTAAATAAGCCAAACTTATTTTTATCAGGTGATTGGAAACTATTACAAAAGAAAAATGATAAAGCAGTTTTGAAAAAGAACCCAATAGAAATGCTGGAACTGTAAAACACAGTAATTAACTTCAGAGCTCAGTGTATGGGCTTAGCCCCAAACTAGATATAGCTGAAGAGGGAAACAGTGAGCTGGAAGTTCAGTTAGAAGAAATTATCCAGAATGTTGCATACACAGAGGGAAAGGTAAGAATAAGAGACATTTAGGATAGAGTGAAAAGACACATTTAATCCCAGAAGGAAAGGAGAGGAAGAGTGGGTCAGAGCTGATGCAAGCATCAATCTACAGATGAAAGAAGCCAAATGGATTCCAAACAGGGGTTCTGTTAAATGAGCTTATATTGTACTTTTCCTTCCTACAGCTTATGACTGAATCATAGAAAACATTAACTAAACTACTTGGGCCCCACCCAGCATTTACTAAACTGGCCGAGTTTGTTGGCAGTATCCACATAACAAGGAACAGGAAATTCAGCTAGAGAATGCTTTTCTTTAAAGTAGGCTATAAACAAAAAGGTGTATAAAAGGTATCCAGGAATTCATTTTTACTATTCTTGTAACTTTTCTGTAAGTCTGAAACTACGTCAAAATAAAAAAATATAAAAGAAGAAGGAAAGACAGAAATGTGCACATAGGAGAGGAATAGGACACTATTTATTGTGTGTGTGTGTTTAATAACCACCTTCCA